GTTGATTTTATAGTAGTTTAATTAACATAGAAATCAGTTGTTGCAAAGGCTTTGTGATTACAATTTATATACTCTATGATATTAAACTGCAGTTCAGCAAGTTTTTTTTTATTAAGTATAATGCCACCCCATTATAATTGGGTGATACTCCATTAGGAGTGTTCCCACTTTAATGTCATTAATGGTCATAATAACATATATATATATATATATATATATGGTCATATATTCGTTTGTGGCTTTGTCATTTAGGTTAGGGTTAGGGTTAGGATTATCAATCATTAATCATTAATCAATCATTCATGATATCAAAGTTGGGAACACTCCTAATGGAGCGTTCGTCTTATAATTAGGTGGGGAAACCATATGCGTAGTGCAGCTGATCATATAATAAGAGCAGAAATAACTAGAATTTATTATGTTCTTTGTTTATGCTGTATGTGTTTGATACATTGTTAGATTTATGGTAAATGTTTTTTTGCATTAGTTTGATAAATATATCGTAGAAAGAATCTGTGAAAAGAAATTTTTCATCTGAAAAATACATAAAAATTGGGTACATATCAATGATCAACAAGTCAGTGAATGATCAGAGACAGACCAGACTGTTGTAGTCATTTGACGTGGAACTCTATTACCAAAGTATCAACAGGGTCTGAAAATAGGGCAAGTCCAAGGTCCAGGACCTGCCGATTTCACGCGTACATTAAAGTGATTTATTCTTACAGCTGAAATTTGAAATCTGACGTCTTTCTAAGTGCTAATTTTAGTAAAGCACATAACTTATACGTACTGTTCCTTATTCCCAGCATACACCGGAAGTCATGGGTAATCCTGACTCACAGGTGCAGGTTTGTTTACTTTGTGTGTAAAAAGCCTAGAGTATGTGTAACAAGCCCAAGAGTTGTTTCCTTAAGATGTCCTAGTTGATAGGGAACTACTTGGCCATGGTAAAAGGTGATGATCGTAAAATATAATTGCCAAATTCACTTGAAAATTTTGAATAAATTATGGGGGTTTCTGTCATAGGTCATATATCAGCATTGCACAGCATCAACACATTTTTACGAATATACAACATATATATTCAGTGTTGTTTATTTTAATATACTTGCTGGATAGTCATTTGTGTAGAAATGCTCTTACGTTACTGGTGAATGTATATACTTTTTTTTCCTTTCTGTTTAGGTGATACAAGAGTCAGAGCTGCCTGAAGCAGGGGAGATTTTGCAGGTGTTCCTGTCAAATTCAAACACGTGTGGAGACTTTTCAGTTCATGATGAGAATAGACATATTGAAACCATCATGTCTGTTTTATCAGAGTGCTGTGAGGTGTGTTATTCTATTAACAATATATACATATATATCAGGAGTAAATATTGGGTTTAGGAGACAAATTTTGTGATTATTTACTCCTGATATATGTACAAAAGAATTATGAATATTGCTTGCTTCCCAGCATATTACCATTACAACATTGAAATTGGTTCGTGCACTGTTTTTAAAATAAGGTAATATTAAGCTGTAAAGTATTATAAGACGTAGACTGATGTGAGATGTTTATACTGATGTGCCAGTTACTGTATTATCAGGATAGTCCATATCACAGACGAGTTCAACCTGTGACTGATCAGTTCTATGCTGCATTCTACCAGAGCAATGAGACATGGTGTCGTGTGAAGGTTTTAGAGGTGTTTCCTGTAAGTATCGCAGATAAGGTCTATGTCCCCCTGACCTCTGTTTGACCTGGCTCGTTTAGCTATTTCTGACTAATATATATATATATATCTATATATATAATATATAATATATATAGGGTTAGGGTTAGGGTTATATATAGGGTTAGGGTTAGGGTTAGTCAGAAATAGCTAAACGAGCCAGGTCAAACAGGTCAGGGAGACATAGACCTTACGAGCGTAAGTATCTATTAAAAAATTTAAAGTTTAGGAGAATTTTTCATACCTTAGTGCGTTTGTAGTTGTTACTGCAAATGTTGTATCCATACAAACATAAGTTAAACTATAGGATTTGTTTATTGTAACAGTAATTTGCTAATTATCCGAATCCTTAATAAATTATGCAATGGCTTTTATTTTTGTCAGCAAATAAATTTCAATGATTACATGACCATTGATTAATTTGCAATGTTACCAGGAACAAATAAAAACACATGTTTGTCTTTGTTCATTCCTGGTGTTATTAATAAGTAAAAATAACTAATGCAGTTAGTTTAAAATATGTTGTGGTCATATTTGCTTAAAGTCTGTATCTGACATACATTTGCATGTGATTATATCAGTTAGTGTTTTGATGTAGTATAAATGTCACTATATTTTTAATTTTATCATTAGAATGAAGTAAGCGCTTTGTTCATCGACTTTGGGAATCAGAGTATGGTTCAGTCGTCAGATCTGCGGGAACTACCCGACACCTTGTACAACTACCCAATGCAAGCCATACCATGCACATTGCATGGAGTCGCGCCCACATGTGTACGTTACTGTAAATATAGGGCAATTTATATTAAAGAAATGCAATACATACAACGTCCTTATAAGATCATATTTATGAGACTTGCTAATTTTTCCAAGTAACCTAATGCAGTTTAATATTAATTTTTTTTTATCCTATTTCATCCCATCACGTTTAAACTAATCTGGTCTTATTTTTCAAAAGGGGGAAATAATCGCATTGCCATGCATAATTATTGCATCATGCATATCATACACTTATCTTCATAGTTGTATATGAACTCACAGAGAATTTCTGTTGTAGGGCACATCAGATGAGTGGGACACAGATTCAGCTGTACAGCTTCTTAAGGTGACGGATGGAAAACGCATGACCATGGAGGTGGTGGAGATCATTGGTAGGATAGTGAGCCTTTATTATAGCTTATTGTATTTAGAGTGGCTTGCAGCAACAAAGCATTTGTGGAAATTGATATGTGCGTGAATAATTACTGCTTCCTTAATGTAAAAGCATCCAGGAAGGTGACTGCTGAGTTTCTTTACATAAAAGTAACACGTCACTGTGATGACACAATCTGGGATAGAAATATTGGTAGTATTGTGGATTAGTGTATAGTATTGGTTACTTATGATATGTCACAATATAGTTTTAAATGTTTATCCCCCTATGTGGGCAAATGTCAAATATAATGATACACTTCGTCAGTCCACCGCCATTGTTGCACCGTGACCATTTGTTTTACTCGTGTCGCTGAAGCTATTTTACATTTCTTGTTCACATTTGGCAACAGTGCTGTAACACCCTGGAAAATCTTGTTACCCTTGGTTTTGTGTCATTTATATTTTCACCATTGTTATCATAATCTACTTTTAAATTTCCTTCGGCACATGGTAAAATCCAAACGAGATGATTATGTCTTTCTAAACTCGTATGCACGCACGCACGCACATGCACACGCACACGCACACACACACACACACACACACACACACACACACACACACACACACACAATAGATTGTATTAATCCAGCCATCTATTCTGATTTCGAGCAAAATAGGTTCATGAACAAATTGGCAGCTGCCTTGTTGAAATTTGCCTCTTCAACTCAACATTAATTTGTTCTATATATTTAAAGAAATCTCACAAATACTGTTATGATAAAACCTTTAACTCTGTTGGATGTGAAAGACCACACTATATTAGTTAAATGTTGTGTTTCATGTAAATCACCACAGTTTTACAATGAAGTTTTCACTATTAAACGCCAATTAAATGATAGAACTTTGTATTTATCAGCTCGTTTCATCCGCTATAGCACGTACATTTGCTGCAAGGTGCATATCAAGGGGTAATATAAGTGCATTAACCATGCATAGCAAACCTGATTTGCTCCCAGCTTGAATTTTTGTATGCTTAATTCTAGAGTAGTGCTAATCAGATTCACTCTGGGATGATGGCATTCACTATCCTCATTCGCCAGTTTTTATAGAAATTTCGTCATAATTTCATTAGTTTCCCTCATAGCAAGTTCAGAACAATAGCAATGTCAAAACGTGCAATCTACAGTGCCTCACTCTGGCCGTATGATGGAACACATGCAGCATGGCCACTATCAATTCACCTTTGTTGGACAGATTTTGATTTGTTAAGATTCAGGAAATGACAAATACTGTAACTGTTTGTGCCTGCTGTTGACGAAATTGTTGAATTCTGTGTTTGGGATAAGACACTGTCTGTGTAACCTGATTTACTTTTATGAAAGTCTGTAATTGCCTCGTAATTTGTTGCAGATAGCAGGTGCCTTGTGCAACTGACACTAGAGGAAAGTCAGCAATCTGTAGCGAAGTTGTTAGCAAAGCAGGGCTATGTTCTTGAGTGGGTGCCTCCCTCCCCAGTTAAGCAGGTTACTAACGTCGATGTCTACCCTGGTAAGTACTGGTTGTGTTTTAAGCTGCAATGTTAATTATTAGTTTACACGACTACCTCAAAGTATAGGCTACAAAATAAAAGATAACAATAATTTGTCAATTAGCATTTCGTATGGCGATGAAGTAACTAAATTTGTGTTGTATTCGTGTGCCTTCAGATCCATTAGTGCTTCCTGATACTCAGTACTGGGATGTGTTTGTACTGTACGTATTCAATTCTTCGGAAATTGCTATTCGTCTAATTGGAGAACAGTACTCGGTAGGTTCCTTTCTAGTTATTTTATCTGTTTCTGTTTCTGTTATATGTTTTCTGCAATCTATATTACATATTAATTTATTCACAGTAACATGTTATATATCAGGTATAGTCATCTTCTGGGTTATGAAAGTGATTTGTTTTTGAAATTATAGCGTCACAATTGCCTTGAACTTATAGAAACACTCACGAGTTTTTGTAACGTGAACTCTGCATTTATCGTCTTCCATTATCTAATCGGAGATTTCCACCAAAGGAAGTAACACAAGCACACACAGTAAAGGAAAATACACATTATTTGATGCCAGGTTTGATTACTTTATGATAGATTATAGCAACTACTACTACTACTACTACTACTACGTCGACCAAGGTGGGCATGATGCTTCCTTGAGTCGGGAACAACAGATTATATATCACTCCAAACTTCACGGTCGCTCATGACTGTGGTCAGCTCTTTAGTTGATGTCAGTTGTGTCATTGACAGCAAGCTTTTAACAGAAGTTTTGATGTGTCTACTGCGTTTAAGGTGGCCGTGAGTAGGCTCCCATAGAATGACTTTGTTGGTAGGTAGCTCAGGATGTCTGTAGCAGTGGCCAGCAAGTCGTAGTTGTCTTGCCTGAATCTTGACCGAGATGGGGGGAAGGTTCCCGTACAGTTCTTTATTTGTCACATGGTCCTTCCAGCTAATATTCAATGCAGCTCTCAGCATCCTGGCTGCTATACTAGGATGCTGAGAGATTATAGCAAATGTACACAAAAATTGGCAGAATTTTGGAAGAAATGGTGTTTGTGTGAGCTGAGGGGGCACAGTGGGAATTACTGCAAGGGAGAAGCCAGGTAAATCATCATCCTAAACGTTGAATTTATTTAGGTGATTTTGGTGCAACTCTGAGCCCAGAACAGTTATCTCACAGTCTTGAATGAGATAGGTGTGTACCTGTGTTATTAGGGATGGTGCACATTAACTGACAACATTGGGCTGCAATACCACGTGCACCCCCTCCCTCCAATACAAACAATACCCATATTATACAATAGAGTCTAAAAATAAACTGCTAAACTAAAATATGTGTACGCCGATGCACATGCACACATTTGTATATACATAGTTATATACTACATTTAATTAGCTGTTGATACGTAGCACATTTATACATATCCCACATTATGTAACAGGACAGGTTTGATGAACTACAAGAAGAAATGGACACGTACTACTGCAGGCACACCAGTAAGCTGCCAGCAGTCACCCAGCCGGTCGTTGGGGAAATATATGCAGCACTGTCGGAGGAAGGGGCATGGATGCGTGCAGAGGTGCATGGCTGCGACCCAGGCAGCAATAACGTACGTTGATTATCATCTATTGTAAATACAGGGAGTTTGAGCCACTAATATATGGATATGGTGTGGCACAGGACGATTGCTGTCTCACACTTACACAGTAGTGCAGCGTTGATTTCCTCACTCATGAATAGTTGTGTACGTGCTAAATTGTTTGAACGTATACTGATAGTTAGTATTTAAGAAATCTTGCTGCTGTTTACATACTACTAATTTAAGTAATATTATACCCATAAACAACATAAGTACATAGAATATAGGCGTAAGTAACTGCGTGTACATGCACATAGTATCTATATATCACCTAGTATTTGTAATGAGATATTTTGTCTATGTATTATTATTTCAGTAAATATGAACTGAAATATAGGTCAGCATATTATTTTTGTAATTAACCCTTTGGTAAAATAACCTAAATGGTAAATAACCCTTTTATATTTTACCTTTTTATTTGGTAATTTAACCTCATTGATTGTAGGTCAAGGTAGTTTACCAGGATACAGGCGAAAGTGACCATATACCAATCACATCTCTAAGGAATCTAGCAACAGAGTTTTGTAGGCTTCCATATCAGGTACTGTGCAATATTTTGTCGTTTATTTGCCATTGAATAAAGAACACAATTAGAAGGATCATTGACTTGTTGAATAAATATTCTGTAATAAATGAACCTTAAATAGTTTATACTGGAAACCTAAATAAAAAAATTGTGTTGAATAAAGAAACTTGGTTCGTGTCAATTTCATTGCAAATTAATTTTACGCCTTAAACTATAACAGTACAGATATACTATAAGATTTTGCTTCTTGAATCTATGGGTTGCATTGTCAATTGAGCTGTCTGTAAGCATCTGTCAGTCTATATGCAGAAGAATAGTGTGATAACACAATGCAGCTGGGTACATATTACTGATATTACTTACTGCGTTATACAGGCAATCAACTGCAAGCTGATGGGCTTAGAAGGTGCAGAAGAAAATCTTCTTTTGATGGAAAAATTAATAGACCTTGCTCATGAGAAAACATTGGTTGCTGAAGTTAATGAAAGGTATTGTGCCTCTGTCTACTAGGATTACAAATGAATTGATAGGTGGTTTACCAAAGTGGAATTGGTGATGTGTAAAATGTAGTAAGTGGCATAGCAAAGTATAGTATACACATTGAAAGCCAGGTTGACTGGATATCTATATAACATAACGATAGCTTTATGATGTTTCTGCGTTAAATAGTGGCAGCATATTTATTCTGAAACATTAGTAGTGGTCATTAACCTGTACAAATCTCACCCATCGCTATAGTATTTGAACAATGTTATGGTTCACTATATGCAACTATTGTAGGACAATCAATGGGACGTGAGTGTACCTTATTTTGTGCAGAGACCTAGTGGATGACAACAGTGCCCGCCTGGTCCTATATGATACGTCGTCAGAAGAGGATGTAAATATCAACGAGCAGCTGCTTGCTATCCTCGCTGAGCAGCAAGCTGAAAATCGGGTAATTGTGAGGCGCTCAAATACCGGTGTGCTTGATATGCTGTAACTCACTACGTGGGAAAGGTCTTATATTTTAATGCACCACGAAATGCCTACAGTATATAAAGGAGTGAAAGGTTTCGGTACGACATTTGTTTGAGATAGGTTTGTGATAATCTGACCTTATATAGTGCTAGCAGTGTTTTTAGAAATGATGTACCATAAATACACAATTATACTATATATGATTTTGTTCCACTCTTTGTGCATAAATTGCTGTATTATTACATTATACCAAGAGTGTATTAAGAAGGAGAGCATACAACGGTGAAATGCTGAAACCATGTTGCAGTATTAGTCGAATTAAGAAACTTCGCCAGTTTTATTTTGACGATTCTTGATGTATTATTGATCAGCTGTCTTACCTTGCTAATATAAAACAAACCGCTTGTCCCTACGATGCCCCTACACTGAGATAATGAACAGTGAAAATCTGGTATTTTTGCCGAAAACCGACTCGAGATCCCGGTTGGCTGCGACCCTCTCTCGCTTTGTGATAGCTTCGGGAAACCTCGCGTGTTTCCGTCAATGATTGACAAATGGAATGAATGATGTCTGTTATTGATTGCCGTAGTGATGACCCCCACCTGTGCCCACCTCACGATGGATGTAGTAAACTCTGTAGTACTGACATAATGAGTCGGCGCTACCATGGCGCTACACAGCGGCGACCGGAAGCAACATAAAGGCCACAGAACGAGAGAGGGTTCCAGCCAACCGGGATCTCGAGTTGGTTTTCGGCAAAAAATACCAGATTTTCACCGCTCGTTATCTCAGCGTAGGAGCATCGTAGGGACAAGCGGTTTGTTATATATTAGGAAGGTAGGACAGCTGATCAATACTACCGCAAAGAATCATCAAAATAAAATGGGGAAAGTTTATTAATTCGACTAATACTGCAACATGGTTTCAGCATTTCACCATTGTACGCTCTCCTTCTTAATACGCTCTTGATTATACCCATATTTACCTCCGCCCAACGGAGTTGGACGGCGCTAGGTACCTCGCTGGCGGAGGTATGCACTCTCCGTGAGTGCACTCTGTCTAGTTTATGGCTGTGTTTGATGCAAACAAATAATTGCGAAGATTTTCAATATCTTTAACACAAATTTTATTTAGTAAGAGGAGCAAGGATATATTTGGTGCTGTTCGTATTTCTCCTAATAATCAGACATAATCCTTTTAACTTTACAGTAGCGTGTATAACCTGCATATTAATAAGTAAATCCAGTGTTGTACCATGTTGGTGATCAGCTATATATATATATATCCTAAAGGCAAAAGATGACAGAGCCAGCTTTGAAAAGTGGAGTAAGGCGATGGCTGATGACTTGGAATTTCTCGGCATCAGAGGTGGCGTAACAGCAGCCGCTGCGCAGCCACAGTTTACGATACCGCAGCCGATCGTGCACAGTGAACTGTCAAACCCGATGAGACAGATCAGCCTGGAAAACACATGCTCAGAGAAGTCACTATCAGACACTAGTCACCGGGTAGAGACAAGTGTGGCGAAGCAGGTTCCTGCACAATGGGAAGCGACCGCGCTACCTGCGCACCAACAATCAGCCTGCCAGTTGTCACCGTTTAGGATAGACACGTGGCGTGGAACCGAGCCCTTGTCAGAACCATTCAGATTCCAAAGCCCTCCTCAGGTGAGCATACCAGAGCTGATTAATGTAATAATTAATGAGCTGAGTATAATTAATGTAGATTTGGTAGAAGGAAATCTAATATCTTTGCAAATATTGTTTTAAAACTGCAAACATGTTCATCGATTATAATGATAAAATTTAGACTAGTCTCTGAACAGATTAGTTTTATTATAACAAGATTATTTGGAAATACGGAGTTAGCAGTCTAATTGATGTAATTGTGTAATTAAAATAATGTACGTTGAATTAATGAAACCTCTGCTATTGCCTATAGCTAAACCAAAACTCTTACTATGAAAATCTTAGTTTCATTAGGAACATCTTTCTCTGTGATGCAATATGATGAGTCTTTCAACAAATTATTGCCATAAAATGGAGCAGTGTTTTACCAGTTATTGACTGAAGAAACTGAACTGAGAATTTATAAATTGTAAGATAACTATATTGTAAATCTTGTCCAGTTCTGCAATATTTGTACACTATTGTACCAGTATACAGTGGGTATAACAGGTTTCTTTTAATTGCACGCTTGTTAAACAAAGGATTTGGATTTGGATATATATATATATATATATATGGTCAAATATTAGTTTGTGGTTTAATGTCATTTAGGTTAGGGTTAGGGTTAGGATTATCAATCATTAATCATTAATCATTAATCATTAATGATATCAAAGTTGGGAACACTCCTAATGGAGCGTTAGCCGTATTTTTTCAACAAATGTCCGAAGAAAATTTGGCAGACGTGCAACCGCATGAATCTTCAAAAT